GCGTAAATGTGCTGTCCCCTCAAAATAACTCAACACCTAGCCATTAATGTCTAAACCGCTGGCAACAAAAGTGAGTACACCCATAAGTGAAAATGTCCAAATTGGGCCCAAAGTGTCAATATTTTGTGTGGTCAGCATTATTTTCCAGCACTGTCCTAATCCTCTTGGGCATGGAGTTCACCAGAGTTTCACAGGTTGCCACTGGAGTCCTCTTCCACTCCTCCATGACGGCATCACAGAGCTCGTGGATGTTAGAGACCTTGCGCTCCTCCACCATCAGTTTTGAGGATGCCCCACAGATGCTTAATAAGGTTTACGTCTGGAGACATGCTTGGCCAGTCCATCACCTTTACCCTCAGCTTCTTTAGCAAGGCAGTGGTTTGGGGTCGTTATCATGTTGGAAATGTTTACCAAAAATGTGAGGGGTGTACTCACTAATGTGAGATGCTGTATACTGCCATTTGCAGATGATATAACTGTCACGTAAACCAATTAATTCACACGTATTGGGATCTTTTTTTGCAAAGACATGTCATAGAATATATTTTGGCCTAAAATGATGACGAAAATTAGATTTTAAAATTTTGTTACTGGACATGTTTAATAGCAAAAAGTCAAAAATATTGTTTTTTTTTTCTCAAAATTGTTTGTCTTTTTTTTTTTGGTAATAGCGCAAAAAATAAAAAACGTAGAGGCGACCAAATACCACCAAAAGAAAGCTCTATTTGTGGGAAAAAGGACATAAATGTCATTTGGGTGCAGTGTTGCGTGACTGCGTAATTGTCAGTTAAAGTAACGCATCGCCTTATCGCAAAAAATGGCCAGGTCAGGAAGGGGAATAAATCCTCTGGAGGGCAAGTGGTTACTTATCAATGGGACACATACACAATGGTAAACACATCACACTTTCATAATCAGATTCCAGCAAAAGTCCTCAGCATCAGGTTGTTTTGAGCTGATTAATCAGGGAGCCCACCCAGACAGTTCAGAGTGGACATTGGTGTACATGGGACAGAGACCAATGTGACCAGCTCTTTCAGTAAAAATGTATAGTTCCAATCAAAACAAACCAAGAATAGTCTGAGTCCAGGGAAGGGGGGGGGTGAAGCAGTCAATGCTGGCTTGGGCCAGAGACCCCAAATCTGTATCCTGATCCTCCAGGTCTCAGAGTCTGTGTGTTTTGGGGAGACATGGACTTGAATCCGAAGGTCCCCCCAGGCACACACCAAAGAATAGAGCCCCCGCAGATGCCAAGGCCCATTGTCAGTAGGCAAGAGGCTAGCCTGCAGTCTCCTCCAAAAGCCCCTGTCCCGGTTGGGTCTGTCACACTGGTATTTTGCTTTTTCAGGTTACACGTGTACAAAGTGTTCTCCTCTAAGTGTCCTATATGCAGCAATACCAGACACTAAGACTAGCAATACTTGGAAGCAATAATACCCATTAACAAACCAGTGGTAATATCAACAAACATGCATTGGTAATACCTCATTACACTTGATTGGTTGTATGTCGGTTATTGCATTTTTTCTTCTACACAAGCATAGGTAAATATTGCAAGCTCTGCACATGAGTGATCTGCTTGTTTGACATCCCTCCTATGGACAAACCACTTCTTGCACATTTTTTTTTCTAGTCTTTCAAATGCATATTGCAAAAAAAACAAAAACAATTTTCCTTAAAATAGCAGATGAAAATGTTTTAGTTTCCCCTTGTGTGTGATGCAGATGTAGCAGTGCTCGGTCTGTAGTGCTGTCAAAAAATGCACAACAAAAGAGTTCATAAGGAAGTATACATAATATAACATTGTGTGTAGTGCAAACATGTTGGAAAGGGAACAAAGAGAGGATCAGTAGGTTCTTTGGTTTATAAAATCCTGTTTGCAAAGAACCTCATTATATCCCAGTTCCAGTTTCCTTCCAGAATAATAAAGTCATAAACCTCTGTGCCTGCTTTTAAAATTGAACTTAAGCATTAGCATTCCTTAAAAGGGTAAAATTGGTATTCTGTAAGAATGCTGGCCTTACTAAACATCCAGAGCGTGTTTTGGTATTTCTCCTGTTAAAAAAGAATAGAAAGTAAATAATGGCACTGGAATAAGGTTTCCCTTTGTTTGTGCTTGTCCTGGTAACATTGTAGTTTTTTGTAACTTTTTTTGCATGTTATTAACAGATTTCTCTCTTTTGTTATTTTGTGTAATAATCAAATAGTGCCAAAAATTCTCCAGAATACTTTATTCTTTAGCAATATTTGAGCTATTTTCAGAACATTTGGAATTCTAAATCTTGTCATTGTAGTTTATCAAGCTAGACGTTATAGTGTCTGAATGCATCCCATTTAAAGGGAACCTGTGTTCTTTACAATGCAGCATATTAAAGGGTTTGGGAAACCGTACTGGGTAAACAATAAAAAACAGAAGCATACATTAATTGTGACATGTACAGATCTACAGCCCTATTTTATTCAAAACTTCAGATGGGAACCACATCAAGGGGCTTTTTTTTGCCATGTTTCAAGGAAAGAACAGCAGTTAGGATATACTTAAGATCCAGGCAGAATTGTAGGTCATAACTGTCCTTCCCGATGATACTTTTCCAGACTTGGATAATTTTGTTCTGAATGAAACTTTTTTTCATTGGTAACACTGTTATGCATTGTTGTTATACATTGTACTGCATTTCACAACACATGCAAAATGCACAGACTTGACAAACATGGCACTGTTTCCTAGGGAACTATTACCACCAACCAGTTGTGTCATGTGGTGGAAAAAAGTCCAAAATACTGAGATCTGCTTGCATAACCCTGCTTTTTCAATAGATTTGTTATCAGTGCCAGTGGCAGGTCCTGGTAGTTTTCAGTGCTGAGGATTGGTGTGAATACTGTAGAAACTTCTGAAGCAGGATGAAGTGATTTCAATAGATTTGTTCTCAATGTCAGGAGGCTGGTACTGGTAGTTTTCCGTGCTGATAATTGGTGTGAATACTATAGCTACAATTGCTATTTTATTGTTTATTTTAATCAATTAACAAAATGCAACGTGAGCAAACAGAAACAAATCTAGCTCAATTGGTGTGACTACCCTCAAACCAGCATAAATTCTTCTAGGTTCACATAGTGCTTGTGCACGCAGTTTTTGAAGGAATTCAGCAGGTAGGTTGTTCCAAACATGTTGGAGAACTACTAACCACAGGTCTTCTGTGGATGTACGCTGCCTCAAATTCATCTGTCTCCTCAATGATGTTGAATTTAGGGCTTTCTGGGGGCAAACCATCACTTCCAGGACTCCTTGCTCTTCTTTAGGCTGAAGATATTTTTAATGTATAAATATTTTTAATTCCTTCAGAAGCCCGCCTCCCCCTTTCCCCATGTGTCTCTGTGTACCATTCCTGCAGCCTTCTGGGAGATGTGATCCAAGTTTCCAAGGAGGCTGCAGGACCAGTTACAAATCATTTTGTCCTAGATTGAATTAAAGATTAATAACAATATAAAAATACATTTGCTGTAATTCTCTCTTTTTGGAGTTGAGTTCTGCTTTAACCACTGAACAGAGAAGAAAGGAAGGAATATGAGCAGACCTGTTTGGATTACCTGTGTGAAAGGGCCCTAAAGGAAGGCTGCACTGACTTTCGTTTAGAAAAACATGCTCCTTAACAACATGCACATGTAAAGGAATGCTGGGAATTCTTTATTGATGACATTGTTAACAAAGATTTCTACAGACAGCTTTACATTAATTAAGAAAGAAATTTTAACTGGCAGGACACATGATAATCCCAATGCTGCTCTTAAAGGAAAAGATGAGAGCCTTTTTAAAGAGACACTGCCACCTTGCCTATTTAGATCAAGGTGACATTTTTTGTGTAAAGCCCACCCCTGATCACTTTATATTCACCATTTAAGCACCCTGTCATTCCTTCTTCACACCAAAATACCTTGTGATGACAGGTGTTGAAGATCAACAATAACAGTGACAATATCCCTTCTACCATGTTACATTGCTCAAACCTAAAGATTGACTGCTGGACCTTAGCACTGGAATATGGGAGGAGGTCATATGCTCCCCACACCCCAAAGCACCAGATATTTTGTAGTGGAAGCAATAAAAGGATCTATGGGGGAGGTCTGTGGAGGTGGGTATAAAGCGCGTGAGGTGGCCTTTAAACATATCCTGTCAATGAATGGAAAAGATGAGAATGTCCTTATAATTTGTTTGGATTTTTTAAAGTAACCAGGTTTATGTTTACTTATTCAGACAAAACAGAGATTAAAATGGCAAATATAGAGTGTCAGTGTTTCTCTTTAAGTGTAACAGTATCCATAAGGAAAACTTCTACATTTAAAAAAAATAAAGAAAAAAGTAGTTGTATTGCCAGTGATTTTTTTTTTTTTCTAGCAGGAAATAGACAAATGAAATCTGGAATCTATAAAGACTCTAAAATGATGCAGGTTGCTTAAAGTGGTTGTACTCGGAAATGAAATATGCACAAATCATATCCCTCTATAGTGTGCACTTATCTCAATTAAGAGCACTAAATGTAATCTCTGTCTGTTGCTGCTTTCCTCTGCTATCAGTTTTCCTGACACCAAGAGAAAAAAGGTGACAGGGTAGGGAGTTCCCGCTGATTAACAGCCTCAGCTCTGTTCCTGTGGGCTGTGTCAAGAGGAGTGTGTCCTCTTCCTCCAGTCAGCTCCCGGAGCTCTCCTCACTGAGCTCCGCAACATTAGCTCTCCGTCCCCTTTTTTCTGACAGTTCTGACAAGCTTTATAAATTCTGTACTGTGAATGGATGTAGAAAATAGAAGCCCATAGATAAACTGTTACAACATGCGTAGGAGGATTTGTTTAATCTATATGTTTCACTCAGTCACTTCACTGGGTATATGTGAGGGTTTACAGCCATTTTAAAGTTTCATAAAACAGTAGCTCTAAAGATTGTTCTTTAATATGAGGACTGCTTTTTCCAGTTCTAACAGTTTAATTATGTTTAAATTCTCTTTTCCAGGTTAGTTCTTGGGTAACCTGGCTGATTCTTGCTGCAGGATCCATGGAGGAGAAACGTGAAGTCTTTTCTCACTTGGTGCACATAGCAAAGTGCTGCTGGAACATGGGCAATTACAATGCTGTGATGGAATTCCTGGCAGGGCTCAGGTAAGACTTAATTGAAGAGAGGCAAAAGCAGCTGTTATAAACATCAGTTGGCACTATGTCAGATAGTTTTAAATAGCCATACAATTACAAACTTTTGTGGACTGTTTGGAAATAATCTGAAGAGGTCATAATGTTTACATGCTTAAGGCAGTCATGTTTAATCTTTTAAAATATTAAGTGTAGTTAAAGTAAATTTTAATGTTGGTGAAATAGCTGAAAGAATGGAAAACATTAATGATGCATTTTAGTGTTTGCAGAGCTAGAGAACACTCAATTTGTATGACATGATAACATTTTAACATGTAAAGTATTTTTATTTTATACATTTCACAGCCTTTTATGTCAGCATGAAACATCCTGAAACTCTTGCTAACAGAGGTTTTAACAAGTGTTCTTGTAGTTCCTTTTAAACATAGACTTCAAGTGTTTCCACTCTATAGAAAGCTCAGCACTTGGATAGCCTGTTGAGACATGTTCTAGATGTTTGCATTTAACCTAGACAGTAAAGCTAGTTATATTTCCAAACTTGTCATAGTGTAGGTATATGGAACACTAATGTGTTTTGATGGTCTAGAACTTAGAGTGGCCTCGTATAAGGAATGCACCGGTGCATTGTCGAAGCTAGACACTATTTCACTCAGGGCATAGACTTAGTTTGGTGCCCCCCCATCCCCCAAGAGCAAGGTGTCAGTAGGGTAGAGGATATGTCAGTAGTTTTTTATTTATCTTATTTATTGTTTTTTGAAATTTTTTGGAGCCCTGTTGAGGGGCTTTGGTGAAATATAATTTTAATTATACCCCTGAGGACAGATTCCCCAGTCCCACAGTGAATGAACAGGAACCAATCTGTGCTGAGTGTCTTCCTCTTCATTCATGAACTGAAGGATAGTAAACACAGTTTACTATGCTTCAGTTGTGAATGCACACAGTGAGTGATTGGTACCAGGGGGATACTGGTGCTCAGTGGTGGGGGGGAAAGTGGGGATACTGGTGCTCAGTGGGGGGAAAGTGGGGGTACTGGTGGTCAGGGGGGGGGAATTGGGGGCACTGGTGCTCAGTGCGGAGACAAGGAGGCACTGGTTCTCAGTGGGGAGACAAGATTGCACTGGTGCACAGTGGGGGTACACGGGGGGTCTTGGTGCTCAGTTGGGGGACAAAAGGGGGCACTGGTGCTCAGTCAGAGCATATGGGGGCTCCTGGTGCTTAGCAGGGAGAGATGGGTCTTAATGCTTAGTGGAGAAAGACGGGGGGTCCTGGTGCTTATTGGGGGCAGATTGGGGGCACTGGTGCTCAATACCTGGCAGCTTGATCCACTTGGAATCCTGTAGAAGAATCATCCCCTCTCTCACTGTTCTTGTCTGCTGAACTTTCTCCAGACAAATGCAGTGACAGGCTCGTCTGGAGGGATTCTGGGGATACCAATGCAGTGACAGCTCAGACAATCACTGCTACCACTTGTCAACAAGGAGCCAAAAGCAAAAGAAGACTTCCCATACTCGCCTATTTGCCGAGCTGTAACTGATGACTCTAATGCAGAGCCCAGCAGAGCAAGCCAGTGGTGGAAGTCTTCCTTTGCCGCAGCTCTTTGTTTACTTGGCAAAGCTGCCACCTCACTGGCATCCTCAGCATCCCTCCAGATAAATCATTTCAGAACTTTTTCCACCTTTAATGTAACCTATAAGAGCGCATGTGCAGGCGGGCGGCCGGCCGGAACAAATGCAGTTCTAACCACTCTGCACATTCCCAGCACCCTAGGGGGATACATTAACGGCTCCCAATCCCGATCCTCCCTGCCACTTGCCTGATTGACTTGCGGAGGAGGAGGTGGGGGACCTCCGATGCCCACCCGACCGGCTGTGAAATCCGCAGGCGGCTCCCACACACTGCCACGATATGAAAGGGAGGGGGCAGCAAGATGGTGGCCAGCATCGGCTCCTGGAGCTCTTTAGCTGCAGAGTTAACGCCTCCTCCACCACAGCGGGCCCAACTCCTGTCCTCCAGTCCTGTCACACACAGCGATGGCTCCCTGGCTCATGAGAGTGTCCATTCTGCTCCCTCTGGGTCCCTCTCCTTAGGCTGCGGACCTGTCACCAGGCCACGATTCCCAGGCTTCTTCCCTGCTAGATAGGGAAATGGCTGACATCTTCACCAGCCAAATTAGCAGTCATGATTCAGCTCCTGACAGTCCAATGGACTCTCCTGCTTATCCATCTGTGCCCCCACACTACTCAGGGGACTCCGTGCTTATTGCTTTTGCTGATTTACTTCAGAGGGAATTGGAAAAAGCTACTACTAAATTGGCCTCTGACCTAAAGTAGGCTTTCAGGGAGATGATAAATCGCCTGGAGAACATTGAATCTAAAGTTTATGATACAATTGACAGAGCGTCTCAGCATTCTAACCAGATTGCTGACCTACAAGACCGCCTGGATGAAGCTCATACAAAAATAGATGATCTTGAGAACCATGCCCACCAGTACAATTTCTAGATTAGAGGCCTACCGGAAACATCAATGATATTGCCTCGGTTGTCCACTCCCTTATACTGTCAGCAGTGATGGATGTTGACGAAATCCACATGGAAATAGATCATATCCATAGAGTTCTGGTCCCCTTTAAAACCGGATGGGCCCCCTTGGGACGTAATTGTCAAACCTCATTGTTTCATAACTAAGGAGATGGTGATGTGACATGCTAGAGAACATCCAGATTTGGAAATCGATGGGTACAAGATTTAAGTCTTTGCAGACATTTCTCAAGCTACTATTCGAAAATGGAGGGCGTTTAAAACCGTTGCTTTCACCTTTAATTCAAAAGGACATTTTATTGATGGAACTACCCATTTCGCTTACAATTTGCTTACAATGGCAAATCCTACGCCTTTTTTACATTCTCTGAAGGAGAGAAACTTTTGTTTAACTTGGGCTTAATTTCCCTTAGACCCTCCCCCAATTCAAAGCTGATGGCCCCCACTTTTGCCTCTTTGGTCCCCCTCTCCCAGCAAGAAAAAACCTGCTACTCCATGTTGGGGTCCTTGAGGATTCTGCTGGCTACTAGCTGATTCATATTAGCTCGGAACCTATCTGTGGTCCTGTTATGGGACATTGGCCTCCACCCTTTTTTTTTTTTTTCAAATTGTTATTGGGTATGTTGTGGTCTCTGGTTATATTGCCTTTATCTGTTTATTGGCTAGATTGTTTACAGGCCAGCTACTTTACTTTTCTGGTGTTAGGAACCTTTATTATACATGTCTCTTACAGACCCCATGGCGCCGGGAAGAGTCTATGCGCTCTCTGTAATCGGAATTCTCTCCCCACTGCTTTGCTTTGGGGAAGACTCTTCCGTTCCTTGGCCTTGTGTCTGGGATATTTGGTATTCTACTGTTTTATGCCGAATATTATTGTGTTGCCACTCGGACTGACACTAGCCATTTTCTGGGATCAGCGTCTTTTCTTTCCTTGTCTTCCTTACTTTTTTTAATGGTTTCTATTTGAGGGTCATCTCGGGATTTTTTCTTCAGTCCTGGATACTTGATACCCCATACGGGTGGGTGTGTGGGTCTCACCATCGCTGCTTTGAATTTTTTCAGTGTCCACCTTAAGATCTAATAGTTGCGTTGTTCGCTTGCTCTCTCATAATGTGCAAGGATTGGGATCCCCCTCTAAGCGTCTTAAGGTTTTTTTCTCGCTATAAGTCCCTAGGAACTGATATAGTCACCCTACAGGAAACCCATTTTGCTTCCTCTTTCACACCTAGGTATATTCATAGGGTTTTCCCTGTATGCTTTTTTTGCTAACACATCTGAAAAGAAACGAGGGGTGGCGCTCTTGTCTAGCATGACGGTTATCCTTTAGTGAGTCTAAAATGAAACGAGACAAAGAAGGGCGATATCTATTAGTTAAAGGCCACTTAGGGGGAAATTTAGTGACTTTTCTGATTTACTACACCCCTAAAGTGAATCAATTTGCCTTTTTTCAATCCCTGTTTAAATCTTCATCTCCGGAATTGGAAGACGTCGTTATTTTAGCGGGGGACTCAAATTTAGCCTTAGACCAAACGCTTGATAAATCGAATACACCCAAACTTAAATCCCCTTAGAAGCAAAGTCGCGAATTTGAACAATAGTCGCTATAATTTGGTAGATGCTTGGAGAGAGGTCAATCCTACTTTTAGAGACTATTCTCATTTTTCTAGCGCTCACAACCAATATTTGCGTATAGATCACATCTTTCCCCCTACGGAGCTGCTGCTCAAATTGCGTTCAGCTAAAATTGTATCGATACCCTGATCAGATCATGATCCGATGCTGCTAGCACTCTCTAATTTAACTACTAATCTAGCCAAGCCACGTTGGCGATTGAATGAGTCCCTTCTTAGCACTGAGTCAATCTGCCTCGAAGTAGTGGATCACTTGAATTCTTACTTTACCATTATTAAGCGGAAGACACGACCCCTGCTATTAACTGAGTAGCCCATAAAGCCTCTATTAGAGGTTTTTTTATTAAACTATCCTCTGCCAAAACCAAGGAATATGAGGCTTTATTAGCCCAACACAAAATTGCTACAACCCCGGATTTGTTACTTGAGGTGGAACAAGCTTGTTTAGAACTTAATCTTTGTCTTACCAGGAAGGCGGAAAAACAGCTACGATGGATGAACCATAAATTCTTCACGTGGTGAGACAAACTGGGTTCTCTCTTAGCGCGTAAACTTTGCCCCAAGCATACTTATTCGGCGCTTCCCAAGCTTTATCACTCGGGAGGTCATATCTCACAGGATCCTCGGAAGATCTTTCAAGAATTTAATCCTACTTTATACAGTCAACCCCAGCCTGTTGAGCCTTCTATGCTTCAAGATTTTTTGGGTTCCTTGCAGCTTCAATCCCTTGCCGAAGCCCACAACTTATGGAACAACCTATAACTAGCGAGGAGCTTGGTAAAGTTATTAAAATGTTAATGTCACATATTTCCCCGGGCCCCGGCGGTTTACCAAATGTTTACTATAAAACCTTCTCTGAACAACTTCTCCCCCATATGGCTCTTTACTTCAGTTCCTTGAGAGCAGATGGTGTGATTCCTTTGGATGAAAATAAAGCATATATTAGCGTTATCCCTAAACCTAATAAGGACGCTACTGATATCCTTAATTATTGGCCTATTTCGCTAATAAATTGTGACCTGAAAATCCTGCCTAAACTTTTGGCCCTGCGTCTTAATTTTTTTTTGGCGCAGTATGTTCACAAAGACCAATCAGGTTTCATGCCAGGTCGCGGAATGTTGGATCAGATTTGCAGGTCCATAGCTTTGATTTCTGCTGTTCGCTCTAATTAGGATGCCCCGCTCTCTCGGGAGATGTTGCTTCTTTCTTTGGACCTCCATAAAGCTTTGATAGCTTAATATGGGAATCTTTGTTTACTGTGTTGCGAGCTTTTGGTTTTGGTCCTGCATTTCTCACATTATTGCCGATAATAATTCCGAAATGTGAGTTGCAGCTCCTACAGGCAGAGGTGCTTCGTTTTGTTTGGAACATTAGAAGGCCTCTGTTGAATCAGAAGACAATATAGGCTTTAAAATCCCATGCTGGGACTGGCCTTCCTAATCTTCAAGCATATTTTCAAGCCGCTCAAATTGCGTAGTTGGCCTACACTACCGCTATAGGATCTACTCCCCTCTGGGTTTCTATTGAAGCTCTTTCCTGCCATCCTTTAGTGGTAGGTTCCCTACTTTGGCTCCCTAATCGATCTTGCCCTCCTATATTATGTCCCACTCTATCTTTCTCATTGACAATCTGGGATCGAGTACGACATCGCAAACCATTAGCCTCCTCGCACACACTTTAAGCCCCTGTTTTTTGTAACCCTGAATTTGTACTTGGTCTGGTTCTGGCCCTGTTCCACTGGTGGATCAACAAGGGGTTACTGCGAATAGGAGACTACCTTCGGGGTGCCTGAATTTACTCTCTCAAGCACTTTAAAGAGAAACTGCACATGACCCACACTGAAATCTTTACATATAATCAAATTGCCTCTTTTATTCACTCAAGTTATTTTATTAGATGGACCACCCATTCTTACCAATTTTGAATTCTCCTGTCAGAATAAAAATCTCTCTTGAGGCCGTATTTCTTTGGTGTACGCCCTTCTTTTAGAGCTGAGCTGTAAACTTCCCTATATGGATCAATGGGAATGGGACCTGAATGTTAGTTATGATCTACCTGACTGGCAAGACATAGCCTTGGCATTATCTAAAGTTTCCGACAATGCCGCCTTAATTGAAGCGAACTATAAAACACTATTGTGATGGTACCTGATTTCAACCTGGATGGCGAAGATGCAACCCCCTGCCTCACCTATGTGCTTTCGGCGTTGCGGCCAGGTGGGTTCTATGTTCCACGTCTGGTGGCGATGTCCGATAGTAAGTTGATTTTGGATCCGCATGTTTACCTTATCAACACGGTGACGGAGGGTGAATGTTCGTAGAGCCCCTGAGACATCCCTCTTTCATAAATTTCCAAGTACAGTACCAAAAAAAGCCCTTAAATTGCTTACTTATATGCTGTTAGCAGCAAGAATCACTATTGCTAAATATTGGAAGAGGTAAATTATTCTGCTTGAATATGTTAAGAACAAATTGAATTGGATCACGATTAATGACAGACTCACCAGTATTCTACAATAATACTAACAAATTTGATAAAACATGGGACCCATGGATTCAATACATTTCCGTGCCTTGATATTTCACGATATGGCCCTCTTCTTCTTCTCTCGTTTCTGCTTACCTCTTTTTCTTACTTTTTACTGTCTCTTTTATCTCTCCATTCTCTGGGGTTAGTTGAGCCTACTTTCTACTTGTTCTACATGTGTCATGTTTTCCGCAATGCCTGTTCTGTGTGATCCATTAATCTACTGCCACTGCTTCCCCTGTATATGGTGGATTTAATGCTAGGAACTTTCTGTTTGGACTACCCAGTTCTTATTGCATAGATTTTCTGATTTCCTAAGGTATGTCTATTGTTTGTTAAATCAGGTGTTCTTTGGTGATGTTCAACTCCTTATTTTATAACATGACATTTGTCTTTTGCATTATTTGTACCTGGAAATATTTTACTAAAAACTATTGGAAAATAATGTAACCTATAGACTATACAACTCAGTTGAACAACAAACTGAAATCTTTTTAGGTGGAGGGAAGTAAAAATTTAAAACTAAAATATGGTTTCATAAGTGTGCACACCCTTAAACTAATACTTTGTTGAAGCACCTTCTTGATTTTGCAGCACTCAGTCTTTTTGGGTATGAGTCTCTCGGCATGGCACATCTTTACTTGGCAATATTTGCCTACTCCGTGCAAAAACACTCCAAATCTGTCAGATTGCAAGGGCATCTCCTGTGCACAGCCCTCTTCAGATCACCCCACAGATTTTCATGAACTGTTCATTATTCCCTCTACCTTGACTAAGACTCCAGTTCCAGCTGAAGAAAAACCACCCGAAAGCATGATGCTGCCACCACCATGATTCACTGTGAGTATGGTGTTCTTTTGGTGATGTGCAGTGTTGTTTTTTGCGCCAAACTTTTGGAATTATGGCCAAAATGTTCAACCTTGGTTTCATCAGACCATAACACATTTTCCCACATGCTTTTGGGAGACATCAGATGTGTTTTTGCAAAATTTAGCAGGGCTTGGATGTTTTTCTTCATAAGAAAAGGCTTCCGTCTTGCCACTCTACCGCAGCAGGGCTAAAGGTAAAGAAAAACTACCTGCCCAGTGCCCGAAACTACATGGGCTTCGGGCGTCAGGCAATATATATAGAACATCCCTGGCACACTTATGCAACCACATTATTTTAGTTTTTGCGTGTTTAATTCAGTTTGTTTTTCAATTGAGTTGTACAGTTTATCAGTAATATTGAAGGTGGAAAAAGTTCTGAAATGATTTATCTTTGTCTCATTTTTTTACATCACAGAAACCTGACATTTTAACAGTGGTGTGTAGACTTTTTATATCCACTGTATAACTGTATGCAATAATGATATCAGGACCAGTGTAATGACACATTACAGAAAATTGCAACTTGCTAATGGATTCTGCTGTCTTAAAAAGATTCACACTCTACTCCACTGAGAGCACTCAGCACTCAAACTTTGCAGCAAATAGGAGTTTTTGGTATGTTTGAAAACCTGTGATTGAGCACAGATGGCTATTTATAAATTATTACAGAGAAAGTGGAACAAATCTCTCAGTGTGTACATGAGTCAAGAGGATTGCAGTGGGTCTTGATGGTCCAAAGAAAAGGGTGATCTTTTACCACCTGTTTTTCTCCTTGAGAATCTGTGTCTTCCGCCACAGCGCTGGCCACAGTTGCACAGCTGTCACATGCAGGTTCTATACAGACACGGAAGCCTAAAAATAATTCCAACTTACCACATACCATATTATGCACATTAAAGTATACCTAAAGGCAAAACTTTTTATTTAGTTTTAGGTGGTGTGGAGAGAGACTGGAACACCTATCTGGTTTCTATTGCTGTCTGTACCTGCCATTGGGGAGATTCACCTTCTCTCTTTGTCCTGTTTACTGTTATAATTGAAAATGAAAGTAAAAGAAAATCCCAATTTTTGAGTTGTCCCCAGGAAATTAATAGAGGGGATCTCTTCCAATGGGGACACTAGTTCTGTAACCTTGGTGACAACCAGGGATTCCATGACTTTTAGAGGGATTTCCTCTCACTTCCTGTTTAAGCTTTGCGCCAGGAAGTAAAGGGAAATCTACCCAATGGACATGCAAAAAAAAAAATAAAACAGGTGATTATAACCATTCCTTACTCTGCAAGCGTTGCCTTTTTAGTTCTGTTTTAAAATTATTTCTGCAATGTTTCGTGGTGGTAAATTCTGTATGCAGTTATAAAAAAGCAATGTGTTAATACAGTATATTTTTTTGGACTACTTGACTGCATTACAGTGGACACTGCTTGGTAGCCATAGAGAAATAACTTTTGCACTTTCGTAACAGGTCACGAAAAGTGTTGAAAATGTGGCAATTCATGGATCAAAATGATATTGAAACTATGAGAAGCTTGAAAGATGCCATGGCTCAACATGAATCTTCATCTGAGTACAGAAAAGTAGTGAACAGAGCACTGAATATACCTGGTTGTAAAGTGGTTCCTTTTTGTGGGGTGTTTTTGAAAGAACTGTGTGAAGTTCTTGATGGAGCAGCAAGTCTGATCAGGCTGTGTCCACGCTACAATTCTCAGAATGAAATACTGGAGGTAAATGTAAATTCATTTTCTTTTCTTCTTTCTCCCTGTTAGGAGACTTAACCTTCATATCCTTTTTATTGTTCTTCTAGTGTTAACTACTTACCGACCTCCAGTAGTAAGGTTACTGCTGGTGGGCACCTTGACATATTTGTACATTGCGGTGCTTGTGCAAACTGGCGCACCCCCTTGGGCACACAGCATCCGGTGGACACAGCGACTCACAGTGCTTGGTGCCCAGCCACTCACATGTTATCGCTCTGACCAATCATAGCGATCACATGACAACTTGTAAGCAAAACTGTCATGAATGACTTTCATTTATGACAGCTTGCTTACTATTGTGATTCTATGATTGGCCCACAGCTATCACATGGTACCTGGCCCAATCACAGCACCCTGTACATTATGATAGCTGTCACAGCATCACAATAGTAAGCAATGAGTCACCAATGAAAATAATTCATGACAGTTCAAATGATTGATGTTACAGTGATCATCACTGTAATAGACAATCACAGTGTGAAAAATAAAAAAAACCCTGATCACCCCCACCCCCCTTTCAGAGTAGTATAGTGTCACTATGGTAAAACTAAACTACTCTGATGACGTTTGTAAAAAAAAAAATGTACATAAAAGTTACAAATTTGAATACATTTTAATTTTTTTTCTCTGCATACTGTCACCAGTCAGAATGGTGACTATGTGATAGGCCGTCAGTACATCAGGACTGATCAAGTTTCAAATATACAGTATATACCATAGTTTGTTGACTCTCTTTCACACAAACTAAATAATATACATTGATGTGGGTTATTTTTATCAAAGAAATGTAGCAGAATACATTTTGACCTAAATCTATAAAAAAAAATTATTTATTTGCCAAATTTTATAACAGAAAATAAGAAAAATTAGTTTTTTTTCTAAATTTTTGGTATTTTAGTAGTGAAAAGCATGCATTAATGTTTCAGCTGTCAGCGGGGTTCCCACTGACAGCTGAATGTAATTGCCAGCAATTAAAAAATCAAAAAAGTAAAAAAAAAAAGGCGTGGGGTCCCCCCTCCATCCATACCAAGCGCTTTGGGTGTGGTATGGATTTTGAGGGAAAGCCCCACGCCAAATGCAGCCCGGCAGGTCAGGAAAGGGGGGCGCGAGCGCTCCTCCCTTCCGGAACCATACCAGGCCACATGCCCTCAACATGGGGGGTGGTGCTTTGGGGTAGAGCCCCAAAGCACCTTGTCCCCTTGTTGATTGGGACAAGGACCTCTTTCCCACAACCCTGGGCTGTGGTTGTGGGGGTCTGCGAGCTGAAGCTTATCAAAATCTGGAAGCCCCCTTTAGCAAGGGGGCCCCCAGATCCCGCCCCCCCCTACCCCACCATGCGAATGAGTATCGGGTACATGGTACCTCTACCCATTCACAAAAAGAAGCTGTAATGTGAAAAAAGACAGGAGACATTCTTTGACAAGTCCTTTATTAAAAGAAGGAAAATAACAGAATGCTCCTGAAGTAGATCCAACGTCAATCACGATGCCCGCTGCTGCTGCTCCGAAACAAAAGAACAAAAAAGTCTCCGCTTCCTACGCTGGCTCCTGTCCGTCTGTCTCTACGCTGGTCTGACAGTTCTTAAATATGTAAGGGGCTGGGCCACCCAGTGACATCACCCGTGTAACCCCGCTCCTGTGTGACATTATCGACTGGGGCATGCTGATCACTGATGGCACACGGGGGCGGGGTCATATACGTGATGGCTCCACCCCTTACATATTTAAGAACTGTCAATCAGCATAGAGGCAGACATCCGGGAGCCATCGTCGGGAGTGGAGCCTTTTTTTTTTTTTTTTCATTCTTTGTTCGGGGCGGCGGCGGACATTGTGATTGACGTTGGATCTACTGCGGGGGACATTCTTTTATTTTTTTCTTTTATTAAAGGACTTATATAACAGTCACACTACACTTTTTGCTTTTTGTGAATGAGTAGCGGGGCCATGTACCCCATACTTATTCATAAAGGGGGGAGGGCTGGGATCTGGAGGCCCTCTTGCTAAAGGGGGGCTTCCAGATTCCGATAAGCCCCCTGCCCGCAGACCCCCACAACCACAGCCCAGGGTTGTGGGGAAGAGGCCCTTGTTCCCATCAGCATGGGAAAAAGTGCTTTGGGGGGGGACTCCCCCTACCCCAAATCACCCCCCATGTTGAGGGCATGTGGTCTGGTATGGTTCAGGAGGGGGGGGGGGGCGCTAGCGCTCGCTTGCTCTTCCCCTTTCTTCCTTTCTTGACCTGTCAGGCTGCATGCTCGGATAAGGGTATGGTATGAATTTTGGGGGGGGAACCCCACACCACCTTTTTTTTAATTTTGGCATGGGGCTTTCCCTCAAAATCCATACCAGACCCGAAGGGCTTGGTATGGTTGGGAGGGGGGACCCCACGCCATTTTTTTTACCACTAGCCTACAGGGCACTTATACACCCTTCCTGCCCAGGCCAGTTTCCAGCTTTCAGCGCTGTTGCACTTTGACAATTGTGCTGTCATGCAACACTGTACCCATATGACATTTTTATAATTTTTTGTGACAGATAGAGCTTTATTTTGGTGGTATTTAATCACCTCTGGGTTTTTTATTTTTTCTTAAACAAACCATAAGCCACTGAAAATTTTGAAAAAAAAAATTTTTTTTTCTTATTTTTCGTTATAAATTTTTGTAAATAAGAGATTTTTCTCCTTCACTGATGTGCGCTAATGAGGCTGCACTGATGGGCACTGATAGGCTGCACTGATGGGCACTGAGGATGAGGCACTGGTAGGTGGCAGTGATGGGCATTGACAGGCATCACTGATGAGCACTGAAAGGCAGCACTCATATATGGCACTGATAGGCGGCACTGACTGGCACTGTTAGGTGGCACTGACTGGCATTGTTAGGCGGCACTGATAGGCAGCACTGACGGGCACTGATAGGCGGCACTGACTGGCACTGATAGGTGACACTGACTGGCACCGATAGGTAGCACTGATAGGTGGCACTGATGGGTGACACTGAAAGGCAGCTCAGATGGGCACTGATATGTGACATTGATGTGGCACTGATGGGCACTGAAATGTGGCACTGATGGGCACTGGCAGGTGGCATGGATTAGCACTGAGAGCTGGCACTGATGGACACTGACAGGTGGCGCTGCTGGGGCTACACTGATCATCAGGGCTACACTGATCATCAGTGCTCTGATGATCTGTGTAGATGTCCTCTCCGAGTGACAGCTCATGGGGAGAGAAATGCCGATAACCGGCATTTCCCTGTTTACATGTGATCAGCTGTGATTGGACACAGCTGATCACATGACCGAGCCGACATCTTCGGCTCTTTCCGTGCATCGGTGATCCGCTGTGTCTGAGGGACACAGCGCACTTCCAATTGCCGCGCTGTGCACTACGGGAGTTGCGCATGCGCGGTTAGAATTGGAGGACGTCATATGACATCCTCCCCCAGAACGAGAGAACCGCCTTTTGTCCGTCATATTACTATATGGCGGGCGGGAGGTGGTTAAATTATTTTTTAATTGCCGGCAATTCTTTCTTTTACATTCAGCTGTCAGTGGGGAATCCCGCTGACAGCTGAAACATTACCACATGGTTTTCACTACTAAAATACCACATGACTTGATGAAATAACTCATGCTGCATTTTAGTAGCCTTTTTTAGTGAATTTACTATTTTTCAGTGCATTCTGGGCATTTGGGAGGGTCTCCTGAGGTTATCTTTTAAAACGCAAATGTGCCTAAACGTGGTAGGTAAACTCGGCTAAACTGCTGTTTTTAATCTACGTTTTCTAGCAGTCAGTTTCCAGCGGTCAGAAGAGTTTTTCAAACACCCTGTGTACATGAGCCCTTAAAGTAGCACAGTGCTGAATAGCAAAAAATTTAGCTGGTCATGAAGGGAGATAAAACCCTTCTGGACGTCAAGTGGTTAATTTGTGAACAATGTATAGGGACTGCCATTGATGACCTCTCTCTGAAAACTCTACTTGCATGGCTGTTATGTTGACCCACTGCCTTTAGTACACTAAATAACTGACACATTTTGCTGTACTACAAGCTCTGGAAAATGCAGTTTGGTGTGACAGAGTCCTTACATTGGAATAAAGTAATATTCATTGGTGAAGAAATAGTCCTGAAAAAAATACAGGCAAACCAGGAAATATGCTGGAAACGCAGATCCAAGTTCAAGGAGTGTGTTTGTGAGCATCCTGTACTGTAAAAACAGATACAACTAATATGTCACCTGCTGTGAGCTTGTCAAGCCTAAAAACTGGCTAATCTACAAATGTGCCTTCAACAGAGTCTGTGGACTCTTGACATTTGTCAGCAGTAAACCCTACCTCTTTTGTTGCTAGACTGCCTCCCCTCATTTAATAGTCCATTGCCAGAGCCACTATTGGACATTAAAGTGGAATTGACCTCCCTCAATCAACATTGACTATTTTAAATCCTTATGCTGCTAACATTGGTAAATAGATAAGAAAGCATACTACTGTGCAAAACTTTTAGGTAGGTGTGAAGAAATGCTGTAAAGTTCGAATGCTTTTAAAATATATACGTTTGTTTTTAAAATTGTTTTTTTTTTTTTTATCAATTTACAAAATGCAAAATGAGCAAAAAGAAGAAAAATCTAAATAATATCAATATTTGACATGACTACCCTTTTGCCTCAAACCAGTCCTTACACTTGCACGAAGTCAGGGATTTTTGTAGGATTAGAGTCAGGTGTATGATTAACCAATTACTGTATACCAAGCAGGTGGTAATGATCATCAATTTCATATGTAGGTTGAAACACAGTCATTGACTGAAACAGAAGCAGCTGTGTAGGAGGCTTAACTGGGTGTGGAACAGTCAAACTGCTGCTAAGGTAAGGTTATGGAAGTTTCATGTCACCATGGCAAGACTAAGCACAGCAACTAGACACAAGGTAGTTATACTGCATCAGCACTGGGTCTCCCAGGCAAATATTTTAGAGCAGACTGGGATTTTTGAGACGTGCTGTTGAAGAAGCACAAAGAAACGGCAACATTGAGGATCATAGATGCAGTGGAAAGGAAACTTAATGCAGCAGATAAAAGACACATCATGCTTATTTCCCTTTGACATCAGAAGATGTCCAGCAGTACCATCAGCACAGAACTGGTAGAAACCAGGTACACCCATCTACTGTCTGGAGAAGTCTGGCCAGTAGTGGTCTTCATGGAAGAATTTCAGCCAAAAAGCCATACCTCCTACATGGAAACCAAGCTATGTAACTCTATGCATAAAAGCATAGGAACTGGGGTGCAGAACAATGGCAGCAGGTGCTCTGGACTGATGAGTCAAAATTTTAAAATTTTTGGCTGTAGCACGAGGCAGTTTGTTTGCAGAAGGGCTGGAGAGCGGTACAGCAATGAGTATCTGCAGGTAACAGTGAAGCATGGTGGAGATTGCTTGCAAGTTTGGGGCTGCATTTCTGCAAATGGAGTTGGAGATTTGGTCAGGATCAATGGCGTTCTCAATTCTGAGAAATACAGGTAGATACCTATCCATCATGCCATATCATCAGGGAGGCGTGTGATTAGCTCCAAATTTCTTCTGCTGCTGGACAACGATCCCAAGGCCATGATGGTTTGGCCCCCACAGGGCCCTGATCTTAATAACATTGTATTTGTCTTGGATTAACTTAAGAGACTGAAGGATTTGAGGCAGCCTACATCCGCAGAAGATCTGGGTTTAGTTCTCAGAGATGTTTTTGGAACAACCTACCTGCCAAAACCTGCTTCAAAACCTGTGTGCACAAGCCCTGTGTGCACCTACAAGAAGTGATGCTGTTTTTGAAGCAAAGGGTGGTCACACCAAATATTGATTTGATTTGGGTTTCTATTCTGTTTATTTGCTTTCCATTTTGTCAATTGATAAAAACAAATCATTAACACTTTCTGAAAGCATTCTTAATTTACAGCATTTTTTCACACTTTCCTAAAACTTTTGTGCAGTAGTGTGTATCTTATTTACTTGTTTTAAACTGTTTGTTTATATTTCTTCAGCTACTTCCTGGTTTCCAGGCCTAGGCATAATGATGTCATGTATACCAGGAGTCTTCATGGGGGGAGGAGGGACTTTCTCAGCTAAGCCCATTCTCCTGCATGCATGCCTGGCAGCAGGGAAGATGGATTTCAGCAAGTAAATGCTACATGAATCATCAGCCCTTAGAGTTACTGGCCAGCAGTATGTGCGTGAGCTATGAAGATGATCTAGATTTCTCATGCGGATACTGTAGGTCAGTAACTCTCCTGACCCAGCAATTAGCCTCTCTATACAGATGCTCACAGGAAAACTCTATTTTAATTCCATTCAAGTTTCTTATTTTAACTGAAGCCACGATGAAGAGAGTTTTTTTGACCTCTGAAATGCGGACTTTTTTTTTTTTTTACTGCAATGAATAAATATATTTGGACTGTTTTTAACCTTTTGGTTTGACATTTCTACCATTAGTGCAGATTTTTCCTACTAACCTGCTTGGGTACCCACTGGAGGGTAGCCTTGTGTGTTGTGAGCAGTCTAACATGAGCCATTGAGTTTTTTTTTTTATGTTTTTTTGTCCTCTCACTACTTTGTATGATTTCACATCAGTCCGAGTGGCTCTTGGATGCTTTCCTTTTCTGCATTGGAATGTTTATTGTGACCATTATAAAAGTTATCGTAAGAAAGACAAGGCTGTTTAACCAATACAAGCCCGGCCAATAGCCAAAAGGCGGCCGGAAAAATGTATTGGATTTCCGGGTTGGACGCCAAATGGCGTCCTCCCGCATATGCGCACTTTTCGCGCTTGCAGAGCCGCGCAGAAGCGCGATCTGTCACCGGCCGTGTACCTCTGACACGGCCGATGACAGATCTGAGTATCGGCCCCCGTTGCCGGTACCATGTGACCTGCTGTGACCAATCACAGCAGGTCACATGACAGTTGTATACAATGGATGGCATCATTCATGCCATCCATTGTCTACTACTGCCTAGCTGTGAATGGTCACAGCTAATCACATGCACATGTCATGTGATTAGCTGTGGCCAAATCACAGCTAAGCACAAAAAAAAAAGAAAAAAAAAAACCTTGAATGAATCGATGTCATTCAGGTAAATGCTTACTTATAGCAAAGTAATTCTTTGCTATAAGCAAATTGTGTAAAAAAAAAAAAAAAAAAAAAAAAAAAAAAAAAATACTGATCACTTTCCCAAAGTAGTACAATGTTACTATGGTAACATTGTACTACTTTGGACATAGTGAAATATGAAAAAAAAAATAAAAAATAATAAAAAAAATAAAAAAATAATATATATTTTTTTCATACTGTCACCAGTCAGTGTCCCTGATCACCGCCATGACAGTTATATGAAGACGCTGTACTGCACTGGTGACAGTATGTAAAAAAAAAAAAAAAATAGTGAAAATAATTTTTTGCATTTTTTCATTTTTCGAAAAATTATGACAAAAGAAATACAACTTCAAAAAACTCGCTATGCCTCTTATGAAGTATGTCAGACTGTCTACTCTGCAAAAAGGGGTCATTTGGGGGATATCTGTACTATTCTGACATTCTTGGACCTCAAGAAATTAGATTGGCCGTCAGTACTTCAGGATTGATCAATATTCAGATCTATACCATAGTTTGTGAACTCTGTAACTTTCCTACAAACTAAAACATACATCCTAATTTGGGTTATTTTCACCAAAGACATGTAGCAGAATACATCTTGGCCTAAATTTATGAAGAACAATTATTTATTTGCAAACTTTTATAACAGAAACAAAGAAAAATGTGTTTTTTTTTTTTCAAAATTTTCGATCTTTTTTTGATAATTTAGCAAAAAATTAAATCCCTGGCGGTGATTAAATACCACCAAAAGAAAGCTCTAGTTGTGTGAAGAAAATGATAAAATTTTAGTTTGGGTACAATGTTGTATGACCGCGCAATTGTCATTCAAAGTGTGAGAGCGCTGAAACCTGGAAAATGGCCTGGGCAGGAAGGTGTAAAATTGCCCGGTATTCAAATGGTTAATATAGTTTTTATACTGGATATATAAAAAAAAAACCATCATATGAGTTGGGACACAAATATAGAAGGAATAAAGGAGTTTTATAGCTTGCATGCATATCTCTTAATGCTTTTGGAGGATGAATAGTCTGTGGTTTTCCAGTTTCATTAGTTTGGTTTCCTTAAAGTGGATCACTAACAGAGGAGAGGGGGCGAGCCTAGAGGCGTGTCATCTGGAGGCTGTGCAAGAATCAGCGCAGCCTCCTGATGATGTAACTGAGGAACATAGCAACATGGGACCTGGTGGTGGCTGCAGAGAAAAGGATTTCATTAGGACAATGCTGGAT